TAATGCGCTTTGACGATTCCAGACTGCACGATGCTGAAGAAGAGTTTTGGCCATATCTTATGCAACAAACTTTATTTCCTTTCAGACCTTTTTTGGAGACTTTGACTAATTAAAAATCACTAAAGTGCGGTTCATAGTTATACGAACACCCAAAATTTTGTAGCTTTTTGGACTTTTTTGGGAGAAACTCAAAAAGCCGTTGGTACCACGCGATAGAACACAGCCGAAAACGGTATATGATCCATAAGAATGGAAATGGATGTCAATCTTAGGAGTGTTTTTGCGCCTAATGCGAATTTTTAACGGTTCATAATTATACGAACACCTCAAACAAAGGTCCATTTTTCATTCAACATTGCAATCATTTGAGTCCAAATTTTTTGTAGAGTTACAGTAACAAAGTCTGACATATCTGTTACACACTGAACCCAGCGCAGTTCAAAAAGAGGACCGTTACTTCTTTCAGAAGGCTCTAAATGCTTTCGGAGTGATTGTGCTCCAAAACATCCATTCTTCTGTGGTTAACGCGCTCCAATTAGCTTCTACCAGAGCTATAAGATAAAATAAGCTGTTTCGATAGGTATTTTGTCTGACACTTGGGAAATCTTTGCGTTTTCGTGCCGTTTCTCAACAAAGTTCCAACCTTAGCACAGAGTTAGCACGATTTCGAGCCTCAAAACTCAGCTTCTCTCTTGCGTAAACATTTGATATAAAGCAGCTGCATTGTTTGCATGATGATGTTTCTGTGCCAAAGTTTTTGGGTTTTTTGTAGGATTGATCTTGAGGCTGTGGAGCTACAAACCAAATAAAGGTGTGATTGCAATAATAAATACAGTGTTTCTGGTGAAATGACGTCTGCGTGGCTAAAACAAACGCTCAGCGCTGCTGATTTTTTCTAGCCAAATACACAGCCTTGTGAACTTCTACATACTGTATGCTTACTTCATTGTACGGCTTCAGAAGCTGAGTTTTGAGGCTCGAAATCGTGCTAACTTTAGGGTAACGTTGGAACTTGGTTGAAAAACGGCACGAAAACGCAGCGATTTTCCAGGCGTCAAACAAAATACCTATCAAAAGAGCTTATTTTATCGCATAGCTTTGGCAGAAGCTAATTAGAGCGCGTAAACCACAGAAGAATAGATGTTTTTGGAGCGCAATCACTCCAAAAGCATTTAGAGCCTTCTGAAAGAAGTAACGGTCCTCTTTTTGAACTGCACTGGGTTCAGTGTGTAGCAGATATGTTAGACTTTGTTACTATAACTCTACAAAAAATTTGGACTCAAATGATTGCAATCTTGAATGAAAAATGGACCTTTGTTTGAGGTGTTCGTATAATTATGAACCGCTAAAAATTCGCAGTAGGCGCAAAAACACTCCTAAGATTGACATCAGTTTCCAGTCTTATGGATCATATACCGTTTTCGGCTGTGTTCTATCGCGTGGTATCAAGCGCTTTTTGAGTTTTTCCCAAAAAGTCCGGAAACTTACAAAATTTTGGGTGTACGTATAATTATGAACCGCACTTTATATGAACCAGTTTGGTTATATTAACACTGCAGTAGCGGGTTGAGCGTGGGCAAATGCCCGACCTGGGGGTCGTATTGAGGGTAAGACTGGGGTGGGGGAGGGGGTATTGATCGAATTGGTTTGAGAATATGAGGAGATACTACGATCGAGTACGGTGAAGAGGAAAAGCGCTAGACTGGTGATTATCACAACGCCGAACTGGGGAATGAGTGCATACTGTTAACTCCACTGTCTAAGTTTCAGTCAAATTTTTCTTTATCTCTTACTTTACACGCCGTAAGATGACTAAAGGAGCTTTTTGTGTAAGTAAGTATATCTCCGTAACAGCATGTCAAATTATCTCTACGAGCTCTACAAGCCAAAGCTATTACATTGAATGCTTCCTAACGTCCAAAAAGCGTGACTTTCAAACGTGATTAACTTAGTTTCATAAGTGAAGGAATTCAGCTTTTTCGTACTCATAACAAAGTAACACTCTCTATCAGTCTATGCTACAAATCATCCTTCACACTGCTTCCAATTAGTGGGGTGAGAAGTGATGCAATATTAGGTTGTTGCAAAAATAATGTCCGTTTTTGTAGACCTAGATTCCAAACAACTTTTTTCCGTCAAGCTTTCTATTACGATATAGAATCTGCATATCATTGGAAAGCTTCCTCCATGTACTTTCTAACGGTGATGGAAATAAGCTGCTATTCTCATCTGCGAGAATTTTACCAGCATTTTGCACATCCGCACTCAAAATCGAAATTTCGTAGCTTTCAGTTTCTTGACCACAATTCAGGAGCAAATAAACGAATTCTTCTGAAAACATAGCAATTGTATTAGATGAAGATTGTTTACCTACTGCATGCTCATCTAGATTTTTGGAGATATCTGGACTGAGAAATTGACGCCTCGAGATAGATACTTACTGCTGGCATTCTATGAGTCAGAAATTTCTCATAATTAAGGCAATCGTCAAAGCTTCGCCCATTTCTGTAAGCTTGAGATAAGCACACCTTAACTACAATATCTAAAGCGAAACTTAGCTATTCAGTGCACGAAGAGTTCCAAATTTTCATAATTTGGCACTTACAAGCCTACAACAAGTAGGCTCAAAAAAGTGAGCTTTTTTGAATTTTTGTCTTTTTTTTTTCGCAGAACTCCTTCGTTGGAGTCTTTTCTATACATACGTAAACACGTGGCCTGCGGCTACAAAATAAGCTGATTGGCAGCCGTACGAACAAACCTTTAAGGGAGTTGTAAGCACTCAAAGAAGAGGTTTTCAAAAGAAAAACTTCCACTTTCTTGACGCATGGTTTTCTTCCCGTTCGCGATATCAGTACGGGCAGGTGCGCGCTAAATTACGAAAGGTTTGCTGTTTCTGATGGTCTTGACTGCATTTAAAAATATGAAGAATGAACGAAGTTATAGCCTTCCAAAGTGAAAATTTGCAAAACGGACATTATTTTTGTAATAACCTAATAATTTCAAACACCGCCCAACAGTGGTAAGCATGTTGCTAATGAGAACAAATAATGTTTTGGAATCCTGAGATTTTCTATGAACCACAAGTCAAAAGTTGAGATTTATCGAAAATTTCTATATTTCAAAAACTCGTTTGTTCTCATCAGCAATATGCTTAGCACTATTGGGTCAAATAATCAGTACAACTTCAATATGTTTCATCAACTTTGAAAAAAAGAAAAAGACTTTAACGAAAAGACAGTCGGCCGTCGGGATCATCAAAGAATCATAAAAAAAAGGCTGGAAAATGCGGCTTTTACAGCTTCTCACTCTTTTTCAATATGCTTATAGTAAAGGTTGGTGGGAATACTTACTTATAGGCAGCCAGCGTGAAATCCACATATCTACTTCACGATATAAAATTTTCTTTCAAGCTGCAATCCCCTCCCGGCGGAGATGTTAATGCATGCGTCCCAGGTTCCGGAGCTGAAAAGGAGGGAGAAGGGTTTACTTGGGGGCTTTCAGGGGAGGAGAGGGGTTGTTCTTAAAAGACTTGTGCTTGACCTCTTGCTCAACTCTGTGCAATACCCCTTACTTTTGAATTCATCTAAATACAAACATTATACAGCAAACCTGCGAGGTAATCAGTTTGAAAAGTACAAGAAATACTTTGGAAGGAAATATGTCCATTGGCGAGGCGGAAGTAGCAACGCACCATAACTCAAAAGATTGCGTTCCTCGCTGATTTGAAATTCACATTCCTTCATACTTCTTTTTTGACCCCTTGCTTGTATACGCAACCGATCCCCAATCTAGTGTAATATGGTGCCTGCACTATGAGCAAGTAGTCTAGCATCTACAGTGCAGAATTGGTAGCACAATTGCTTGTGCAAAATGTGCTTCAAAGATTTTAGTCTGTTTGTTTTTCGATTTCTTTTTCAAATATTGTTTGTGTTATAATCAAACGTCTTGAGGGTTACGTGTTTGTCAATGCGTAGTCACCAAACCTTCTTTGAATTTGTCCCACAAGTGATTTCTATTTTAATCACTGTAGTGCACAGGGAGCAAAAGTCATGGAGTTATGGCACACTAAAGTTTTCGAAGATTATTCGTTTATTTCCATTCACTCAAGCTTTTTACGACAGTCTTCTGTTTTCTCTACAGTCCTTCTTTCCTACCTGCTTCCAATTATTGCAGTAGTTAAGGTCGTCTCATTGGGTGTACTGTCGCTAGCATTTAGGGCAGGAATATGATGCTTGAGAAGGTGCAAAACGCAAGATTTTCAAGCGATTTCGTAAAGCTTTCGAATGTCAATTTTTGTCAATATCGTTCCTATAAAGACCTGAAGACAACTTGTGCTAGCCTCTGACTATGCCAGCTTTTTTCTAATTTTAACCTAGGAACCAATTTCTTTGACTAAGTCAATTCAAATGATGGTTCAAGACAAAATTTAGGACTCGCCGTTGGTAGAACTTGTGCAAACGCAGCCTACAGATTCCTGGAGAGTAACATTTTTGTTTAGTTAAAGTAAACTACAAAATTTGATCGAAAGCAGATAGCGCATTGGTATGAACACTATGAACACTTGAGTCCGCAATGCTCTCATCTTCTACCATCATCCCTTTTCCTCTTGGGCTAACCTCGCTTTATTCAATAGTTTGCAATATTTCAAGTTTGTAATCCTTATACTAGTTTATACTAATTCCGAGTTTATTTTCAAGCGTTTTCCTTTGCTTCATGCCCTAAACACGCAACCATAAATGCTGGTTATTCTTTCTCTCCTCACCTTTGTCTGTTGTTTTCGCGACTAAAGCTGATTTTGCGAATAAGCATTTTGTGACCAAAGCTTTATTTACAGACATCACTGACCTTTCTCTTACAGGTTTACACCTATAAAATTGAATCATTAGCGTCAGAATTCATATATTAATCGCACTTTTCCATATTTCACATAAACAGGTCTGTCTAAAAACAAATATGAAAAACTGCGAGAGGAGTCGCTGAAGATAATTGCAGTACCTGAGTCAAAAAAGTGGCCGCGCTTGTGGTGGCGTCGGTTGGTTCACTACCTGGGAACTATTCCTGTGCAAACGGTGGTACCCGCAAATCCTTTCGGAGTGTTGCATGCAAAGAGGAAAGCACAAAGCGGAGCCAGTACCGGCGCACGCCCTTTGGCACAATTCGTAGGATGAGTACGGACATATATCGCGAACAGTAATAGGTGATGCAGCAGGCTCCATGTGGTACACAGGAGGTATAGGAGACGTTACCGCAGCAGCAGCAGGTACCCCTGGGTAAGTGGGTGGAATAGTGGGAGGCATACCAGAAACAGTAGGTATCATCGAGTAACGAGGCAGAGTGGCAGGTAAATCAGTGGCAGAAGTTGGATTTTCAGCAGGTCGAATAGAAGGCACTCCTGTTACCCCAGATATCACTGGGTAGTCTGGGAAAACGGGAGGATATTTAGTAATAGCAGGCATTGCAGAAATTCCAAAAGGAGGCGCGGGAGGATTTCTACTGTCGGTAGGTAACAATGGATTGCTAAGTGGTAATGGCACAGTGGCAGTGATTGTAGGCGCTACAGGGTTCCTGGGAGGAAGCAAAGTGGGAGTGTCCACGGGAACAACAAGAGCGCTGGCTATGGGTAATATAGACTGCGTAGGCGTACACGATTGTGCGCAGATGCCATTACAGTAGAAGGCACATCCTGGGTGAATCTTGTCTTGCTGACATGTGGACACACAAAGAGGTCTGCAAGTGTTATAGCACTCAATGACTTGTAGCTCAACTGCGCAAGTGCAGGTCCATGACTGAATGATTCTTCTGCAGATGCAGTGAGGAATCGCTCCGGCGTGGCAAACACATGGTACTGGAGTATATTCGGCACATGAACAGCTCCTTTTACTTAGCGACGACTGAAAATGAAAAAGTTAATAACGGGGACAAAAATATTTTGAATATCAAATAACCTTTGATTCCATGACGAATAGAACATACAGAGGAACTGATTAAAAATTTGGGGATTTCAAAGTTTTTTAAGAGACAAATTTACTATATTCAAGTCGCTTTTATTCGTAACGCTTTAGAGTAAAGTTCCTATGCAGATTATGAGAATCTTTGCCTAAAGTCCCCTTTCATACATTAAACAAGTTCTCCAAATCCGGGTTTCCACGCGTTTTAACAAATGCCAGATGTCAGGTGTCTGCAAATTTACAGAAGTGGAGTTGGAGTGGATAGGCACATAGCACTTGCGAACCACTTGGGCCCCACGCATAGGCCTCGTAAAGCTTAATTGCTAGCGACGTGCCTTGAACACCAGCGTTGGTCGTCGCGAATGACTGTAAGCGTTACTATTTTTCATGAAGTTTCCGTCAATTTCCATGTTGTTTTTAACTGTATAAAGCTTGTATTAACGAAAAATTCCTTCAAAAGTTTATAAAAGTATGTGTGAAAGAGGTGCGCGCTCATCGTTGTTTGCAACAAGCCTATAACGCTTCGGGGCCGAACGTTTCCAGCCGCCTCGAGCGTTGGTGTTCAAAGCGACGCGTGGGCAGTTGGATTTTACAAGGCCTGTAAAGGCCAAGTCTTACACAGAATTCGTCTACGGAAAATCATGACTGTCACTTTGAGAGTCGCGAGGTATTACCCATGCCTAAGGCTCCCGCTAGAGTGCCGAAGTTATGCCAGCGCTACGCCAGCATTTCGATCGATACACGTGTATTACGTTGGGGACATCAACTTGCTGAGCTAGCCCCGCCCCAACAAAATACACGTGTATCGATCGAAAAGCTGGCGTAGCGCTGGCATAACTTCGGCACTCTGGCGGGAGCCTAAGGTGAAATAGAGAAGTGTCAGGCAGGGTCAATCGTGTGATGCGACTGTCGCAACAGGGGGTCGTAAATTGGGCAACTAAGGTGGGGAGGGGGTCGTAAGAGGAAGTAGTTCGGATGAAAACCGTAAGCTCAAAAGGAAATCAAAAAGCAGATAACTAGTATATGTTCTTTACAATAAATACAAAAAAAGTAGAAATAAGCATACTAAGGATAAAAATTTTTTTCAGAAATTCTCAAAAAAAACGATTTCAAAAGCTCAAAGCACTTTTGAAGGATGCAAGACTTGATAAAAATTCGAAATGTACTAACTGGCTTAGAAATCTTGCTTTCGGAGCCTCCCTGAAGTCTCACACACTCGACAAAAACAAATATTCTCACCGACGATGATCTTTAATAATTTTTGAATGTTTTTGTAATGCTTTTCACGGGCCCGTACAATTAATGCGTACTTTGGAGATGCTCTGCTACATTTATACAAAATCTGCTTTTATCCCGTAATCTTTGCATTTTTTAGTAAATTTTTGTAAGCCGACTAGAACTGAAGTAAGGGGGTCGTATCTGGGTCGCATCTAAATTTCTTCGGAGCTTTTGAAGCTTGTTGGCTGCAATTCTGATGTAATATGAGGCCATCCTCCTACTTTCTCTCATAAAAATTGCAGGCTGTTTTATAAATTCTCTGGCAAGTTACAAAATTTTAAGCTCGAAAATCCCAGTTTTTGCTTTTTAACATCGCATCTGAATTTGCGAGAGTCGCATCTAAATTTTTTCGAGCTTACTGCTCTTCAAGGGCTGGAACTTTTTCTATGGATAGTCTGGGCACTATGCTACTAACCTGTTCATTGCATCCTCTCAGTCTTTTCCTGGCCTTAGTTATCAATTTTCAAACTACCGTGTTCATGCACGTTTTTGACATCATTCTGGATGGCGCTAAAGCGGTTTTTCTCGCAGGAAAAACTATGCAAGATGTAGGAAGTAAGGTTCTTAGTCGGAAACATCTTTTGCAGCTCAAGAATGTCATTTTTTTTCTCCGTGCAAAAATTTGTGTCGCATACGGGAACCGAATTTGCTGGCCTGAAGTATGCCTCAAAATTCCAAAAAAACTTGCAGGATCTCAAACATTATTGAAGGTGTGTATGTGTGTGCTACAGATGCTGGGAGCACCCATTGGCCTAGAAATTCTGCTTCCGAAACCTCACTGGAGTTCTCATGCAGGTGTTTTTTGAGATTGACCATTCGTTTATGCAGGTTACCGCGAGGAATGTGGGCAGGGAGGTAAGGGGGTAGATGGGGGGGGGGGGAGGGGGAGGGGGGAGGGTCGTAGGATGGGTACCTTCATGGGGGGGGGGTCGTAAATAAGGGTCCCGGATCGCATCAACACGCTTGACCCTGGTGTCAGGACATGTAAGACTTACCTCGAACTTTACTTCCGTTGTTTATAAAGGACTTACTTGTGTGTGTTTTCATTAACTATATACAGAATGCTGCTGCTCGAGGCAACATTTGTTGCCCAAATCGTTTTATGCGAACATTTGTTGCCAAATTCAAAAAACTTTCTTCAAGCCTGAGCATAATTCGCAATCACGAAATACCATTCCAACAGGTTTGTTAGCATGTACTGTATTTTTTCCAATTAATGCCTATTGTTTCAACGGTATTCGTCTTCCTCAAAGTTATGAGAAAGGCTCAAAACGTTACCTTTAAATTGAAAATATCAAGCATCATCTTCATTACTGCTAGTTTTTTGACTTTCCTTAACTTTTTTCTGCATGAGTTGTTAAAATAAACATGTAGTGGGCGGAGTTTGAAACGGGTGCTTGATGGCTTCATATCACAGTTAACACTTTAAGGAGGAACCAAAGGCGTCATAACTACTAGATCTCAAGAAGAATAGTTGACACCTGTCAGATGCGCAAAGATCAAGAATGTTTATTGCATAAATTCCTCGTTGCGAATTCAATATATTAGGTTGGTACATAAGTTTGCGACGATAAGTGAGACTTCATAAATTTAATAGGGCTCCAGGATACTATTTGATAGAGGAGCATAGCAACTTTACAAGATTATGCAAAAGTTCGCACCAGCTTCGACCCACCGTAAGTTTGCTTCCGAAATCTGAGTACTGCTAAAGTCTCAAAAATAAGAAAAGTTCATATCTTCGCTCAAAAAAATCCTCCGCATCTCCAACTTGTTCACTTCAACTGCACACCACATCAGACACTCATATGTACCGTTGCTATATTTTTTCTCATCCTAAAATCAAGAAAAGGAAATTTTCTTGTTTTTTGCAAAAAAAAGCAATGCTGTTTATGCTCATGTAATTGGTGACCACAAGTTCAGGAGTATAATCTTGAATTTTCAGCTTTCTACAAGCCCTAGTTTTCGAGAAATATTGATTTTAGCATGGAGCACTTGAGTGAGGAGAGCTAAATTCTCGAAAACTAGGGGTTGTGGAAAGCTGAAAATTTGCGGTTACACCTCTAAGGACTTGTGGCAAACAACCGCATAAGCGGAAACAGCATTGTTTTGTTTTCGTACAAAACAAGAAAATTTTCAATCCCTCGATTTCTACATGAAAAAATGCAGCAACGGTACATATGAGTGCCCGATTGGTGTGCAATCTGTATGAGTAAGCTGGAAATCCGAAGAATTTTTTAAACAAAGATATGAATTTTCCCCAATTTTTTGAGCTTTCAATACGACTCAAATTCCAAATGCAAACTTAAAGTGGGTCAAAGCTGGTGCGAACTTTTGCATACCTTTTTGTAGAGCTTGCTTTGAGTGTACGAATTATCGTCGTAAGAAGTTAAAGTGTAACAAGACATATGTAAAACCTAATACATTGTACCGCCTAGTGGCTACAACTTACTTGCTCTGAGCGAGTAAAAGTGAAAGCGAGATAGATCACAGCAGCAAGCAACATTCGGAAAGACATCCACTCAGCACTGTGACAGCTTTTATGCGGAATAATCCTACAAATAAAGTGTATGCAACTGGCAAAAGTGCCCATTTGCAAACTTTAAGTACACCCATAAACAAGTTTATTCGCCTGTATGTGACACAACGTACTGGGAGTTTGCGAGCATTCTGGAAATGCGAGAAGTAGGCAAAGTAGCCTGCGGAGCACAACTAGAACTCAGAAGGGCACGAATAGGCTGCTGCGATTGCCTGAGAGTAAGTGGAATTGATGGAGTTTCGCCCAGAGTTATCAGATTGTGGAAGAAACATTTCCCATATCTTATATATAAAGCTGAATGTCTGTTTGTCTGTCTGTATGTCTGTATGTCTGTCTGTCTGTGTGTACGTATGTTCCGAATAGAAAATTCCATTTCTGAACCGATCCGGACCAAACTTGGCACACATACACTACGGGCCCCGGCGGGTGTCATAGGCTACTTTTCGTCATCGATCGATATCGATATTGGTTTTCAGGATTATCGATTACTTTTATCGATTTTATCGATTTTTTTGCAAAGTTTGAGCTACGGGGCTGGGAGTTGGCACAGGGGGGTAATCGAGCATGGGGATTCCGAATACAATATTGGTTTTCGGGATTATCGATTACTTTTATCGATTTTATCGATTTTTTTGCAAAGTTTGAGCTAGGAGGCTGGGAGTTGGCACAAGGGGGTAATCGAGCATGCTGATCACCCCCAAGGGGGGTGATCAGCATGTTCGATTACACCCCTGTGCCAAATTCCAGCCCCCTAGCTCAAATTTTCAAAAAATCGATAAAATCGATAAAAGTAATGGACGATCTTGAAAACTAATATTGTATTCGTAATCTGCATGCTCGATTACCCCCTGTGCAAACTCCCAGCCCCGCAGGTCAAACTTTACAAAAAAATCGATAAAATCGATAAAAGTAATGGACGATCCTGAAAACTAATATTGTGTTCGTAATCAACATGCTCGATTACCCCCTGTGCAAAATCCCAGCCTCGCATGTCAAAATTTACAAAAAATCGATAAAACCAATAAAAGTAATCGATAATTCTGAAAACTAATATTGTATTCGGAATCCCCATGCTCACTTCCCCCCCCCCCCCCCTGTGCCAACTCCTAGCCCTGTAGGTGAACTCTGCAAAAAATCGATAAAAATCGGTAAAATCGTCGATCGATAACGAAAAGTGGACTGTGACACCCGCCGGGGCCCGAAGTGTATGTGTGCCAAGTTTGGTCCGGATACGGCGGAGCCGGGTAAGCCAGCTAGTTTTGCTATAATGCGATGCAATTTTTATTGCGATCAATAAAGCGATCAGTACAATAAAATCTGTACTACCATTTGGTTCAAACTGGCTTGGCATCGGCAAAGGCGGGGCTTCGTAACCTAATTAAGGCTAGGTAATGATAAGAGAGCACTCGCGCGAGAGAGACGCACGTGCGTCGCGGGCGCGAGCGGCCTCAATTAGATCACAAAACCCCGCCCTGATGGTGCCAGGCCATTTCAACCAAAGGTTACTTGCATCTACAAGTTGACCAGAGCGGTAGTGCACAGAAGATAAAGTCTATTTCAAGATTATGATTATGTTCGATGATCTGTCGTGGTTACGCAGTATAGAAGTCCTCACGCCAATATCGCTTAGTGGTCCAATTCGAATTCGAATTGGAGCAGGCTGGTTGCAGCAGAGTGCGGCACCTAAACCCTCATTTAATTTAAGTATGTTTCTTTTTTGTTTTCTTTTTACCCCGTTGCTTGTTAATTCATGCATTATGACAATGCTTGATCAAAATTCGCGTTTTGGTACTGTTGAGTTTGTTTTGCGCAGTTATGCTCGGCTTTTGTTAGGTGCTCGCATTTAGGCTCCTAGAAAAAATGCAGATGGCCAATTTTTTTGACATCAATCACTAGGGCCCATACGCACGTATAGTTCATTTATAAAATCGTGATGACGAATTTTACTGCGGACTTTGCGCCCAGGAGCATAAAACGCTCATACAATAAGGCATCACTTCAACGTTCAGCTCAATCACTTCTAGTGTTTTAAGATTATCATACGTAAGCAAAAAACCATTCGACTAGAAATGAAAACCAAGAAAATGCGATCTCCGGAAGCCGCGTGCGTATTGTGCGCGGTCGCGCCATCGTCACGATTCCTCAAATGCACTATACATCTCCGCTGAGGCGGGGAGGGGATCTAAGAGGGGATGACGCATCTTTCTTCTTCTCCTTCTTGCTTATGAATTTTTCATACACTTATACCTGCGCATAATGGATGTCAGGTCACTTCCATATAAGATTGGTTTTTTGCCATTTTGTGTGACCCCCAGGGGATGCCCATATTCAAAGTGATTTATATTTCTGAGAAGTCAATGAAAAAGCTGTAAAATTGTACCGAGGACATACTACGGCACTACTAAGCATATTTTCAACAGAAGAAATAAATATGGAGATTGTGAATTTTTCGATGATCCCTTCGCGAGCTAAGGACAACAGAAGATTTCGATATCCTGAGATTTCACTTATGTCTACTACAGTGCTGGCCAGAACTATACGTCCACCCTAAAAACTGCCCTAGCTCATCTGCTTCTTAGCGAATTGATCTGAAATTTGGTGCAGCTGTGTTTTTAACAGGCTAACGTCAGTAACTAAAACGGATCCCGTTTTCGATTGATTATCCCGGAAAAAATCAAAAATTTCGAAAAAGTGAAGGTTGGCCAAAACTATAATTCCACCTAAGGTTTCTGTCCACACTAAAGTGATTCTCAGCTTCCAAGGTCGTGCATATACATAGTCAAAAGTCAAAGCAGTCGCTTTAGTCCAGCAGTGTCATACCTTTATAAGAAACGCTCACTGCTTTTTTTCGCTTAAAAATACTTTTATGCGTACTTTATTCCCGGGAATGTGTTTCAATAGGCAATTTCGCAGTTTTTTGACTGGTTTGGAAGCTACAGGGATCGATTCATAGGTGCGATAGGGGAAGCCGGGCTCTCCCAGGTGAGGGGGGTCTCGGCTTTTCCGACCTTCCAGGATGAAGGGAGTTAGCCCTGGGGGGGGGAGAGAAAAGGTAAAAAGCGTGGTATGAAGAGCTCTAATTTGTACCTTATTTAGGTCAAGATAGCGTTGGGGCAGAATGGGCGCGTTACAAATTTATCTGAACAAACTTTGTCATGTGTTAGCAATATGGTGCACCAATGTATCTTACATAAGTGATGCTTGAAATTGTAACTTCATGAAGACCTACGCTCCCGTTTCATTGCATCTCAAAAAAATGAAAGCAATAAGGTTTATCCCAAAAGATGTACAAGTTGAAAACAACTTACAATTCCTGCACATCATTATCAACAATATCACTATCGCTAACGTCAGAGACAACAAGTTCGCTGTCTGAAAGATCTTCTTCTTCCTCCAAAAGGTCATCGGAGTAGAAGTAGAATTGCGTGAAAAAACGTTCTGTGCCGAAAATGGATTTAAAACGTTCTTCTTCTCTGAGCGCTTTTGTGATTTTTTTCTTGGCCCTCTGATAGCATCCAGGAAAGTCAGCAGGTAGGTGGCCAGTTTCTTCATACCATCTTTTAGGATATTTCAAAAAGTCATACGGTGACATCCTGTCTGGACCACTTATAGCAATCCTTTGAACGAAGTTTTTAGATAACAATATGTTTAGTAGAAGGTTGACAAACCTTAATTAATTGCTTAGATGCTCCACCGTTGTACGACTTCTGCATTGTGTTCTGATAACAGAGTGAATAGAAAATCTCCTCTGCCGTGCTAGTCGGAATGGAAACTAGCTTTTCTAGTAACTCCATCAGATTTTTGCGGTAAGTAATGGGGAAGCCAGATCGCATATGCTTTCGCAACACGGGAAGGAAATATTGCATACTTTTTTGGGCCTTGAACTCTGGCTTCACCTCCTCTGGCATATGTCCTGCTAGCTGATGAGAAAGCTGCTCAACTTCTTCTTCAACAGCATCTGCGGAATAGCCGAAAAAAGTAGATACTATGCTGCGCGTTGGTTATTTTTCAATATCATACTTCATTATGTCACGAATAACTTCCAAAAGCATAAAGCACAGAGTTGGGTTCGTTCAGTCGGGATCTAAGAGCACTAGCTATGCTTTGCACTAGCATCTTCCTTTTGTTCATACCCATGTTCGTGAATTTAGCAGCCTTGAAATCTTCAGCAACCTGAAGATCAGCAGTGGACTTCCTGGACATCTCATTGAAACTAGGCAATCTGCTTAGATGTCTGATGTACGAAATCAGAGAGTTTCGCGCAATTGTCAACTCTTATCAATGTCGACAACATTTTCGTCAACTTAAGATTCTCCTTCTGCCTCGCTGTTGAATTGGAACACATGCGAGTCATCTGCGATTTTGTAAAGTACTCTGCCGTTTCTTCTTCGGACTGCCAACTTTTCCAAAACCTTGAAGGGAATTTCAACAACATGTTCTTCTAAATGCCTCAAAGTTTTTGATTCATTAAGTCCAACCATTATCCACAATTGGGTGAGTCGAGGGCGTTTTCAAGAAAGTGACCTTCTTCAGCACTAGGTTTACAGAGGATGGATTCCATAAATGGGCGGGTTTTGTGTGAAGGCGTGGAGATTCGCCAATTTCCCATAGTTTTTTGAGTGCGTCGTCGAGGTCAGTATGGGCTTTCCAGATTGTTGATGATTCGTCCTTAGAAAAGCAGAAAATAACAGGAATTACTGGCTTAGTGGAGGGCACACCTATGCATTTCTTGACAATGTGCCGATCTCTCCTAGCACTTGTAATCGGAATACCATGTATCTGTAGAACTTCAAATATTTGATAACGTGCAAGAACACTGCTGCTTTCAAGCGCTCTTTACTGGCAAGATTCACAGATTTGGATATTTCTTCCAAGGCAAGCCATACACGCTTGCACATTTTCAAGAAGCTGTGGATACCGTCTCAAATATTGAATGTTTTTATGGAAAGCAAATAGATCTTGTATTA